TTAAATGAATTCGTGAATTTTGATAAGGTTTTTATTGTCGGCGTCAGAGCCAATCTCTTCTCATAACACGGCGATTTCAGCCAACCTTGACGAATTCGATCCATGTATCAAATTTGTTGATTTGATTTTTCTTCATCCATTTTTTTGAATGATGAACATCAGAACATGAAAGACTTTGGGACTTCTTTTGTCGGAAACAGCTTGCTCGTGAAGAAGTCCCAGGTGGATTCCTGGAAAAGCCAATATATAAATACTATATTAATTATATAATTATTTGATCGGAATCGAATTAATCTAGTGGGTGTGATTCCCGTGTGCAGCTAATTGCGTCTATATAACTTATATGGTCCCATATGTACAGACACCAAGTTCATTGAAAATTGGGAAAAAAAGTCTATTGAACAGTGCATACATGGAAAGGATAAGCTGGAGAAGAAAATGACGAATTCGGAATTTCATGAGTTTTTTTGTGGTAGTATTAAAACTAAATTCATTTATTTGATTTTCTAATGATATTGGTAATTAATTAATTTAATTGTAAGATGGTGGTGGCGGTGGTTCTTGGTGGTGTTGACTGTGGTGGAGTAGGATAGGGTAAGGTGAATAGTATATTTGACTAGTTAATTGGAGAATTTATTTTATGACCTATTAAATGTGTGAATGTAACCAATTAATTTAATAATATGTGACCTATAAAAACGTCTAATTCGCTATTAAATTTGTAAACGTGACCTACAATTATGTCTTTGACGTAATTTTGACATTGTGTGGTTTGTGACTGAATAAGATCAATGTGATCCCATAGGAGTTGTAACCAAATATATTTCTAGTTGTGACTTGTTAACAATGCAGAATTCGACCAGTGACATATCACCAGTGACTTGGGATCTGCAATTGGATATATGTCTAGTTGTGACATGTGACAATGGCATGTTACCTATGACTAGTGACCTACGAGTTGTAATAAGAAATATGTCTAGTTTAGCCTATGACTGGTAGGTAACTTTTTACAAGATATATCTATAACATGATCAAACCTCATATATATATATATATATATATATATATATATATTAATTTGCTATTAAATTTGTAAACGTGACCTACGATTATATCTTTGACGTAATTGTGACATTGTGTGGTTTGTGATTGAATAAGATCAATGTGATCCCGTAGGAGTTGTAACCAAATATATTTCTAGTTGTGACTTGTTAACAATGCAGAATTCGACCAGTGACATATCACCAGTGACTTGGGATCTGCAATTGGATATATGTCTAGTTGTGACATGTGACAATGGCATGTTACCTATGACTAGTGACCTACGAGTTGTAATAAGAAATATGTCTAGTTTAGCCTATGACTGGTAGGTAACTTTTTACAAGATATATCTATAACATGATCAAACCTCATATATATATATATATATATATATATATATATATATAACTTATTTATCGGTAACAATTTATCATATTAATATGTAACAACTTATTTCTCGATCATAAATTTTACAAGTCATGACTTATTTAATATCAAAAGTTTTTGAATTTTTGATTTGATATCAATGCACAATGACTTGTGACATCTGATCTATAACCAATTTATTTTGATTTGTGACCTGTTGATAATAATATGTGATCTATTCAATATGACTGGTAACCTGTGCATGATTTGTGACCTGTGAACTGTTACCTGTGACAAGTGATTTGTGAACTATAACCTGTGACCTGTAAACATAAAGAAGTAATCTGTGACCAATTTTATTTGATCTGTGACTTGTGGATATTGTGACCTAAGCACAATGATCTGTGGCCTGTGAACTGGTACCTGTGACATGTGAGTATTAATCAGTGAACTCTAACAATTGTATAAAGACTAGTGACATGTGACAAGTAATAAGTGCACATTGAACTTTCACAACTAAATTATAACTTGTAACAAATGACATGTGACAATTTTTCACCCATGACCAGTGACCCATGGCCTAGGAGTAGTGATCTGAGACATGTAACCAGATATATGTCTAATTGTGATATGTCACCAATTACATGTGATTTTACTTGTGACCAATTATAGGTGACGTGTGTCCAGTAACCTGCGACTTGTGGTGGATAACATTTTTTAGCAACATGAAGTAACTAATGACCGGCTTAAATGATAGGAAAATGTCTCATATGACATGCATAAATGACAAGAAACTTACACGTCCAAAAATTCAACAGCAACTTGAAAAAACTAAATAAACTTATAACCCTAAACAAAATAAATTCATATTCACACTGATCACAATTCATTTATTCATTACAAATTATCAAATTAATTAGCCATAATTATTCATTGCAACTCATTTTTAAAAGTTTGTAGCTCATTAATATGTTGACTATGACCTTTGTGACCAAGTGTGTTTAATTTCGATCAATTGTGACCAGTAATGTATTGGATATGACATGTTGTCTAACTATAATATGTTATCATAAATTATATCTAACAAAAAATTAACCTAAATTAAATATCAATCATAATACACAGATGTCATCCACGTTAACGTAACATCTATCATTCGTAGTATTAAAAAGGTGAAAAAATTCATCCACGTGTACATAATTACCAGCAATCGAATCACATACTAGTCACAAACTATACGAGGTCACAATTACGAAGATACAATTTGTACGTCATAATTATAAATTTAGTATCAAATTACAGGTTTTTATATGCCACAAATTATTTACAGTCACAACTTACCAAATTAATTTGTTCTAACTTATTTATAGATCACAATTATCAAATTAATGTATCATAATTTATTTATTTGTTGCATAAACACAAATTATATTAAATTAAATATATTAAATTCACAAATCTATATAATTTGGTCACAAATAAAAATTTTTATAGGTTACAAATTATTTCTATATCACAAATAAAAATTTTTATAGGTCATAATTTATTTGTCGATCACAAATTTGAAAAATTTATTGGTCACAATTTTTTTTTTTGTTGCAATGACCCGTGACCACTTCAATTGGATCTGTAACCTATGCACATTATAACATAATAAATTTGACTTTTGACGTTGGAGTTTTTACTTGTGACTCATAACATAAAATGTGATCTATAACATATGAAATGTGACCTCATTTGTTCATTACAAAGTTTGTTTTCAATGTGGCTGTTTGTAGTCATGTAAATCTAATTTGTTCATAAACGTATCTAAGTCACATACAATCATATTTAACACAGATCGAATCACAACTCAAGTTACTGTTTATTTTTCAATCACAAATTATCGAATTTTAAGGTCACTGTTTATTCGCCGGTCACAAAATCAAAACTTTTATAGGTCACAATCTATTTAAAAATCACAAATCACACATTTTATAAGTCACGGTTCAAATTTTTAGGCACAAAATATCCAATTTATTGGATATGATTTCAAATAATTAGTCACACATTATTTATTAATCACAAATAAACCAATTTATCGATCATTATCAACCAAATGAGTGATCTCAAACATCCCACCCCACTCAACCAAATGATTGGTCACAACCCTGTATACAATCCCAATTAACTTTTAGAAAAGAACTTAAGCAAGAGGAGCTCAGAAAAGCATAATTCCACACATCCAAAGTAAAAATGCAATAATCATATTTACAAGACAAGATATAAAGAGAGAGAGTTGGAAAAATAAAACCCAGAAAACAGAACACCATTAATGGCATAGAGCCAAAAACCATCATCTCTCACAATTCACGCCTACCACACCCCTTTCCCCTCTCATATAATTCACGCCTACCATTACCATTAATAGTCATTCCATTTGCAACAGTAATCATTGCATCAACAACGGTAATGGCGTCACATTGCTCCATTTTGCTATCCAGTGCGAGTCTATCTGACCTTTCTTCATGCGCTTCTCCTCAAACTTAACAAAAATTAAGAAATAATGTCAAAATACACAACCAAATAGTAATTTAATCTATCAATTTTATTTCAATTCGAAAAAAAAAATCTAATTACAAGCCAACTAATTTTTTAATCTTGATTGAGCGTCGGAGCGAAATGAGGAGTGTGACGTCAGAGGAAAATTCTTATTATCAGAGTGAAGGAAAAATGGAAGCACCTTGAGTTTTATATACTCGTCGCAGATCTCAACCGTTGATAGCTCTAGGATTTCGGAGCAGTTGTTCTGCCTTTCACGTTTCTGGTGCTCGATACTTCGTGCGATGCTGTCCACGGTGGTGGATGAAGATGGATCGTTGCTTGGGTTCCGGTGAGTAGTCGGCTGTGGAGGGAATGTTTGTTGGCGACAATGGTGGTCGCCGGCGAGAGAAAGTGGCTGTTGGAAGGTTTTGAGAGAGGGATGAGATATGATGGGTGGAGAGAGAGAAAAAATAGACTCGATTTAATAATAGTTATCATTAATATTAAAAATATAATTAACACCTGATTTTTGAATTAAATTAGTTAAAACTTGATTAATGATAATGTAATTTTAAATCCATGTTTGCGTGTAATTTTCTCATTTCTTTTCCAATCTAGTATGGTTGGTTTGATTTAAAATCAATCCAATTCAATCCAATTAATGGTTTAAACCCAATTCAACCCGATCAAGTTTGGGTTGGATTGATCGATTTGGGCTATGACCCAATTAAAGTTGGATCCAATTATTATTATTTTTTTATTAAATTTGGGTAAATTTCTAAAGTTTGAAGTTATTTGAAAATCTCTCTTTTTTTAAGCACCTATATAAGGAATTTTTTTTTTTTGAAAAATAATGTGTGTGTGTGTGTATTATACAATTTTTTGGGATTTATTCATTTCATCATCATGTTATTAAATTTTACTTTATTGTCAAATAACATTTCATTTATACATAGTGTTCATGTGAATTTATATAAAGAAAATGAACTTTGATAAATTATAAGTACTCATATTTTTACTATTGTACTTATTTAGGATTTTTTCTTAGACATTAATTTTAGGAAAAATTGCAATAGAGGTCCCTAACCTTTTATTTTTTCACAAACTTTTACCTAACTTTTACTTTATGCCACCACAATCCCAAACCTTTGCAAATATGCAATTGGAGTCTACATGGATGAAACCCGTCCATTTAACCATTAGTTGATCAATAAAATTGAACTTTGAGCAATTTTGATCAATTTAAAGGTTAAAAGATTAACTTTGCTATTTAATCCTATAAAACAATTAAAATAAATAACTCAAACAAAATAAAAATAAAAGGAAAAAAAGTATTCATCTCCTTCTTCACCCCCACTGCACCGTCCAAATCCACTACCATTCCCCTACTTTCAGCCACTACCCAAAACCAAAGTGAACAATCATATAAAACACAGATTTTTTCTTCAGATCAGCATAGGCTCCATAGATAATTGACCAAAAAAGCATAAAAAAAAAAAAGAAATACACAGAGGATTTATATACATATAATCCTACATGCGATTTATATGTATATTTAAAGACAAAGTGGGTTTAAGGAGAGTTTAAAATTGACTTCCAAAAGATCCATCGGAGGGAGAGAGCTCTAATGCCGTAGATCGATGTGTGTCAGATATCGGATAAAGATGGTTGTCGAATCACAGATCGATGCATAGATGCTTATATCACCGAAGCTAGAACTAGAAAACTAGTTTTCTTGGCCATTTCTGGGAATGAAAATTGTAGGAAAAGGGTAAGGGAAATTTATGATAAATTGATTCTATTAAACCCCAGAAATAATCAAGGAGAGCTCTGATTAGTGTGGAGGAGACTTGAGTAAGCTAAGTAAATTCGTAATGTGCCCACAATGTTCTGTGTATTGCTTGTATTTAGACTTCGATTTAGATTTGGCTGGTGTTTTTTGCTGGGAAATGGTGGTGGTTTTGGATAGTGGCTGCAAGTATGGGAATGGTAATGGTATTGGGTGGGGTGTAGTGGGGTACGGAAGAAGATGAATAGTTCTATTTCTCCTTTTATTTTTATTTTGTTTGAGTTATTTATTTTAATTGTTTTATAGGATTAAATAATAAAGTTACTCTTTTACCCTTTTAAATTGGTCAAAATTGGTCAAAGTTTAATTTTATTGGTCCACTAACGATCAAATGAACGGATTCCATCAATTTGGACCCCAATGTGCATATTTTTGAAAGTTTGGGACTGTGTGTGGTACAAAATGAAGATTAAGATAAAGTCTGTAAAAAAGTGAAAGGTTAGAGACAGTTATTGCAATTTTCCATAGTTAATGGACATTGTAACAACAATTCATAGGTTTCAAATTTCTTCAATTTCATAATTAATTTGTATTTGAATTGGTGGTTACAAATTTATTCAAGGCTATGTAACTTTATTTGTGTTAAATATAAAATTAACTAAGAAATTGAAATCTCCATCATCCTAATATTATATAAGGAGGTATTTTCCTCATTTCACGCAACAAAAACTTTGAAAGTTTTCTCATCTCTATAATTTTCTCTTTGTTTTAAAAGTTTTGTTTTTTGTAGTTTAGATTATTATTTTCTAACTCAATGATAGAATTGTGAGCATTCTCAATTCACTTAAAGTAGTGACGATGTACTGATTAACTACTTTCAACTGTTGTGTTTTGGGAAATAGATGCTATCAGTCCTTGTGCACCACAGTGGGAAATGAATCTATTTTAAGAAAACTATGTGTAATATAGGCCTCGATTTCTTCCAATACCACTACTACACGAACAATAAAATTTCCCGACTTTTATTGTTATTCTGTTAATTGTTATGTTTCTTTTCATTATTTTATTATTTCAATAGGAATCCTAATTTTCTTTTGTACTTTCCTAACAAACAACTCGACCTTGAAGGTAATCTTTAAATACTCTTAAATTTGCGAAGTAAATAGGCGCTATAAATGGATTGCGATGTAGAGGTATTCTTCGAGGAAACATATTGAAGTGAACTGCTGGTAAAAGCATAATGTCCTATATTTTGCAATTCAGTTGATGGGTTAGCTATGGCTATCAAATGTAATAGGGGCACGAGATTCTACTGAAGTTGGGCTTGGTGTTGGCTGCTTTTGGATTTATTGGGTACATGAATGGATCTATTTGGGCTTACCAAATGGTTGGGCCGGATTGTAAAGAAATTGAGGTAAGAGGGTCCATGTCATTTTGATGGATCGAAGTTGCGTTTTCAAGTAGAGACACATTGGCAAGTACAAGCTTATTCTAATCTAAATTACACAAATGGACCTGATCATGAAATGTCACATTTGAAGCTTCAACTACTTCATCATGTGGTGTCACACACTGCAATTTAGCATGACGCTAATGTACGTGGCATCCACTGGGGACAAGAGGAGCGCTTCGCTTGACATACGGTTGAACATAATTCAGTTCGGTTCGGTTTGAATGAAAATCGAACCGGACCTGAAATTCTCGGGGTATTTAAAAAGTGGAACCGTTTGCGTTCAGTTCCATTCAGTTCGGTTTCATTTGGTTCCCAAGTTCCCTATTATAATTAAATTTTTTAATATTTACAAAGTTATATTAATTCAACTAATGATATATTCAATTTTACCTCTTACAAAATAACGTAGTTCAATTTTATGTGTATTTTGCATTTCTCTTTGTTGAGTTTTTTTATAAATTTGATTGTTAAAATCACAGGAAGAGAAAAATAGCGAGCTCGAAATAACTAAGAGAAGTGCTACTGAGCTTCACTTCGATTTCTTCAAAACAGTAGAAATAACGCTACTGTCGAGTAATATATTTGGATAAAATTTAGGTCAATTTAATTAAGTTGACTTTGGATTGAAAATTAGAAATAGAAAAAATCATATTTTTAGATTTAAACCAAGACCTTGTTGGGTACAGCTTTTAAGCCAATTAAAATCAATTTTTTGACCGTTATTTCACTATTCCAATCGTCATTTTTGAATTCTTCTCTCACATGTAGGACTCACTTTATCTCTAACGGGAAAAAAATCAATTATCAAAATTCCTACTAAACAAGCATTGAATTAACTAGTTAGCAAATTTATTTAGAAAAAATAAAATAATTTGGCTTATTTAAAATAATTTAATTAAAAAAATTAGAGAGATTCGATTCTTTGATTCTTGATCTAGAATCGAGATCCAAAACTATCGATTCTCGATTCAAATACCCTTTCGAGTATTTAACTAAAGAGGAATCATTTGATTCGAAAGTTTTGTCCAACCATAATTTGACATTAGTAGTAGTGGCTACAAAGGCAACAACTTAGTCGTGATGAGCAGATGACCTAAGAAACGAAGTTTTGAGAAGCCTCTTTGAGGAGATCTTGCTAGGTAGTAGGGAAGCTTCCTATCAAGGTAAAGGGAACGATCAAGATAACTAAACAAAAGGGGAGTGACTTTTGAAAACTTTTTCAAATAATTAATCTAAATTCAAGTAAAGACTAAATAGATTAATTCTAATAATAATCCCAAATATGAAACTGATACGTAAAAGGGAAGAAGAATGTAGACGATATAATTGTAGAAGTTTGATCTAAAACAATTATTCACATACTGCGTTATCAATCTATCCAACACGAGCAAAACTTTTTTAATATATTGATTAACTTATGATGCAATCCAATCCTTTAAAATGCTTCCAGTGACTTACAAACAAGGAGCACTGATCCTTATATAATATTGAACTTTACGAAACCTCAATATGATCTACACTATTGAGTTTTAAGGGACCTCAATGTGACCACACTATTGAGCTCTACAAGGATCTCAATATGACCCTCAAGTATAACAAAATAAATTTATAATGAACTCCTTTCTTAATAAATGGTACAAATGAATTAAGTACCAAAAGTGGCTAATACTTCAATGAATAGTAATAAATAATAGCTCAAGTGTTAGATGAGAAAGCTTTGATGAATACTATGATTTCAAAATTTAATTTAATCAATCAATGTTTTTCAATGAGGAGATGAAGAAAAATAAATGCAATGTAAATTCAAAAAACTTCTCAAAATATATCTCTCTTTTAATGAGTCGGTAATAAATTAAGTACCAAATGAGAGATGAGGAACTTTGATGAATATTATGATTTTACAAGTTTAATTCAATAAATCAAAGTTTTGATTTACAGAAATAGAAGAAATGATACAATGCAAATTCAAAACTTTTCTTTAAAATATATCTCTCTTCTATGAATGATAGAAATAAATTAAGTACAAAAAGAAAAATGAAAAACTTTGATGAAGATGATGAAAAGAGTTTGAATCAATTAAAGTTTTTTTTAATATGAAGAAATAAATGAAATGAATGCAATGTAGCCTCAAAGAATTCTCTTAAAATATATCTCCCTTAATACTCTTGAACTCTTTTAAAGAACGAACAGAGTGATGATATTTATAGAGTTCAAAATATCATAAAAATCTGTAAGT